TGCAGCCGCTACCTCTTGGAAATTAAAAAAAACAAAAAACAAAAACAAAAAACAAAACAAAAAAAAACAAAGAAAGAAAAAGAAATAATTGATCACCCAAAATGCCTAGGACATTATTTTCAGACATCTGGAAAATAAACAAAAAATCACAGGGCCATGCCCTAGGGTTGTGTTGTCTCGATCGGCTCTCACTTTTGGCCCCCCCTCCTTTTGGACATCTCTGGATCCGACCCTGGGCATGGATATTAGTATCATTATTAGTGGTAAAATTATCAAACTTTAATAATTAATGTTACTTAGTTTTAAAAAACAGTTGACTTTAAAAATTAATTAAAGTTTTGCTAATAAAAATTTGGATATTTTACAGCTTTATATTGATTTTATTAATGTATCTGTTAACCTACTGTAAAGGCCTGTATTCAAGATAACACTGAAACTGCTATGGAAGCCCTGCAGAGTGCCAAGTATTTGTTACCAAAGATGCCAAAGGAGGTAAAATATTAATAATAGTACAGTTAAATATAAATAAATTGTGCAAATATTTACACTTCATAACAAATATGGGGCAATAGTTAATTAGGAATATTATTTTAAAGTCAAATGAGCACAACAATAATTCAGGATTACAAAAGTATGCGTCAAATTTTAGATTATAAAGGATCGTATAATCTGTTTGTACATTATACTATACAGTTATATGTTATGAAGTGCACAGCATTAATGTTGCACTCTGATTGTTTGCTATATAATATATTTGTGGTATATGTGGACATCTCTTTCATATATGGTATTATTGGTCAATTTTTTAACGTACTACAGTATAAGTTAAATTGTTTGGCTACATTGTAATCTTTTCCATATATGGCATATCTTGGATCTTTTCTATGTAGTTCTACAACTGTGCTGTGACAGGCAGGAACAGCTCTTCCCCATACTGTATAATCTGATTGCTTTCTTTGCAGGCGCCGTATTTATGTGTTATGTGCTACAACTTAGGCTGTGCGGCATATAAGAAAAAGCAGTTCAAGTCATCGGCTATGTGGCTGCGGTAAAGGAAATCCTCATTCTTTTTTCACGGTTCTCAAGATATTCCAGAATAAAAAAAAAATACCACTGATCAAGTCAATATCATTCATGTGATTTCTTTGTTCATCGTATGTTAAAAAATAATCTGCTGAAAATAATTTTTTTTCTTCAGAGAGAGCATCGAACTTGGAAAGGATGAACGCGCAGTGGGTTCTGAAAATCAGGTGATGTCAGTTTTATCAAATTTACATCATGATATTCACATTAACAATTTCAAATGATTTTATCCTAAACGTTTGATGATATTATTATTACTCTTTATTTACTCGCATTCCAGGCTAAATCTCTTCGTCTGTTGGCCACTGTGTACATTGACTGGGACATCAAGCAGTATATGCAAAAAGCATTGAATGCAGTAGGCCTAGCAAATGCTGTAAGTATAATCATAGAGATTTTATAATATCTGTATGGTATTATAATATTTAACCTTATATACATGCTTTGTATTTATTATGAAAATAGGAGTGGATCTGTTGTTGGTCATTATAATGCTTGCATTCCTATACCAGGGTCCTCTTAGATTTATATCCTGATGAGATGTATTAAAAATTATTATAGCGCCTTCAGTCTGAAGAAAAGTTCTAGAAGTTTTTTTCTTCCAAGGAACCAGAGAATTTTGTGAACAAAATTAATGACAGTCTTCTTTCAGCTAGTTATCTACATTTTTTAACACTTTAACTATAACAGTAGCAAGTCAGTCGCAGTTGGAAAAGAATAGGAACTCTTACTTTTACTAATCCAAACTGTTCATTTATGTATATGCTTTTACTGCAGGAGTATTGTCACCCTGTTGGGCTGTACCTGAAACTACGGATATTACTTAAAGGAGATTTCACAGACAGCCGCATTCAGTCAGGTAAACTTGACATGCTTGCTCTAGGTCTATCTCATCTTTTAGATAAAATACAAGGGTGTTACTTAATTGGTGAAGCCTTAAGCTCTGTCCAGACTTTCAACTTTTCTTTGACAAAAAAAATTGTGCTATATATGGTCATGATCTGATGTCATCATGACCATATTTAGGTAAAATTTAAGTAAAATTTGATAGTCTGGACAGAGTTTTAAAGTTTTTCTCACATGTCAAATTTATTACTAAAGTTGGTAAAATTCTTTTTCAGCTCTTGAAGATATAATTCGTCACAGCGATCTAGAAATAGATACAGCAATACAAACAATTAACCTGCTTGCAGCAAGTACGAGGTAAGCACTCTTGTTGCTAAACCTGATGTCCAACGTTATATATATTATTTGTGTTGTTGATGGATTTGCATATTATTACCGGGTCAGAGTCATTTGATTTTTTTTTTTTGTGCTTGTTTCATTTCCTTGTGTTCGTCCCTTCTGCGTTTTAAGTGGTTTATTGTACTTTTTCTGATGTCGCTTTTTATTTTACATGTTTATATATTTCTTTTTTTGTCCATTTTCTATTGCTGCTTTTAAGTGGTTTATTGTACTTTTTCTGATGTCGCTTTTTATTTTACATGTTTATATATTTCTTTTTTTGTCCATTTTCTATTGCTGCTTTTTTTTTTTTTTAATGCATTTTTGACTTGTAATTCAAGTCAATTTGTAATTCAATTTCCAACATATATCCTTTAACTAGCAATTTACATGCAATTTAGCCTCCGTGCCAGAATGTGTGGAATTAGTGAATAAAATTGAATTAATGATGCTTTAGAAAATGTTGTGTATAATGTATATTAATACTAGATGGTGTTTACTGTTTAGATGCAAAACTAGCTAAGCAGTAAGGGGCAATGGAAGAAAATTCAATGCATAATTAGCCCTAAATTACTCTGATTGGAGAAATATTTTAATATGTGCTACGTTGCACGACGTCAACTTTTCATGATGATGATAACGGTAGTTTAACTTGCTTGGTATTTCCACAGGTATGACTTAGCATTTGACATGTGCAAGAAAATAACAATGAAGTTCCAAACATCACCTCAAGTAGGCCAAGTGTTGTTGCTGCATTTGGAGATGTTGTTGGAGAAAAACATGAGGCAGGCCGCCAAAGACATGATTGAAGACTCTGTCACTGGTCAGTAAGGTTAAACCAAGAACTCACAGGGCAGACTGCTCTTCTATTTTTCTTGGTATTTAGGCCAGACTGGTAAAGAAAACTTAATTCAAGTGTCGCTGCTGCTTCATTTGATGGCTACTTAATTCAATAATGCTTAGTACAGTCATAGAGAAGATGAATGTTCTATTTTCTCTATGGTACAGTAGAACCCTTAATAAGGGGACACCATCGGGACCAATGAAAAAGTGTCCCCTTAATAGGGGTGTCCCCTGAATAAGGGTTGGCTGTAGTGTTAAAATACACTTTCCCTCATTAAGTGCCCAAAAATGTGTCACCTTAATAGGGGTGTCCCAAAGGAGGGGTTCTACTGTAGTTGACAAGTCTAATATGCAAAATGTTAAAGTTAATACTTGCTCAAATTTTCAAAGTTAATTTTAATATGATACTGGCAAATTGTTTCAGTACATACAATAGCAAATACCAAAAGGGACAAATTTTACTCTACATCGCCGTGATAATGAATTTATGATGATAGTGTTGAGGGTTGATACCCATCTCAAAGTTTCTAATTTTTTGTCTTCAGGAACATTGCAGATGTTGGATATTGATACAAAAACGAAACTTCACATTATGCTATGGAAACAAGCAGCAAGTGCCTTTGAGGTGTGTAATGATGGGTTTAAAAATCTGTCCTGTGCCATAGATAGACCTACTTTAAATATCAATGTTTCGTATGTGAAAAATACTTCTGATTTGCCTATATACATGGGTATGATATAACATCATGCCTATATATGGATGTAGTATGCCCATAATGGGTATTGTATCTTTATTATTGAAAATGTTACCATATAATAATGTGTTGAGAAAAAAAAAATTAAAAAAAATAAATAAAACTAAATCACTTATACTGTACATATTAATCAGGTCTTTTGGTTGAACTGCACTAAATATATATGCAAATGTTTCCTCTTTAGGGTGATGATTTCAGTGAATCACTCACTTGGTATAACTACTCACTCAGCTTGTTTTCAAATTCTGATAAAGGCAACAAGAACCTGGCAAAGTTACAGCGTAACAGAGCATCATGTTTCCTTGCCCTCAACAACCTAGCAAAGGTTTGAATACCATATATCTTGAGACATACCTTTAGTAATGAAATAATTAGGATTAATGATGATAATAATATTTATATTCTGCCAATAATTGATCTTTCCAGAGTGTCAAACTAAACAATTGACCAATCACAACAGAGCCATGGGAATAGGCATGTGTATTACAAACACATCTTTTGTTCCACAAATGCACATGTTTACATCATACTGTATACACTATGGTTTTATGGGACCTTTGGCAATGATATCAAAGGGCTGGATGCTAGCGTAAAGGTCCATTGTATATAGCACATTTAAATAGATTCTTGTCATTTGATTGGTGGATTTAATATCATGTGACAGTGGGTACATATGCACTGATTAACATTGGTTATTATATTAACATTTCAATTCCATGAAGGCTGAAGAGGCCATCGGAGAAGCTGTGAAACATGATGTGGCAAATTGCTATTCTTACTTCCTCGTGTACAAAGTAGCATTGATGAAAGGACAAGATACTAATGGTACGTATAAAGTAATAATTATAATCATTCTTTATTAAATTGTCTGAGCATTCTAATTTGAAATTGGAAATTTTGACTGGGCCTATGGAGACCCATGGCAGCCGCAGTGCCAGCTGACTTAACTTCAAACATACGGATACAAACATTATTCTTAATGCGTCTAACGCTAAAATTGTATTTAGAGGACCCAAACGATCACACTCCTATTGTAACCCAATGCTACCGTTGGTCTTTAGCACAAGAGCAGGAACAGTTCCACGTATTATACTACATTTATCTGGTATTGATTTCTGTTAAGCTATACTACATTTCATTTTGATATAATTTTTATTTTGTTATGATAATTGTGTTATCAATATGGAAACCTTGAAAACCTTTGTCCTTTATGAAGCTATTGAAGCAATCAAAAAGATGTGTGAAGAAAGAAAGGAAAAGCCTCAAGACATCACTGAGAATGTGACAGAAGAGGAGCAGAATCAACGTGGATTGATATGCTTGGCTGCACAATTAGCATTTGAGGTAGGCCTATAGGAGACACATACCAATACAAATATAAATAACAAATGAAAATGAAAATACTATAAATCAATTTAAGCACATTAGGTGATCAATTGTGTCAAAGGCCTTTTTTAAATCAATAAAGATGGCTGCAGTTGCTTTGCCTTCATTAAAATTATTGAGAATATAATCAGACACATCAATGAGGGTAGTACTTGTTGAATGGTTTTTCCTAAAGCCAGATTGTACTATACTGTTCTGTCAAATCACCAGAAATTTTGAATAATACAGAGTGGTCAAATTTTCTCCTGTCACAATATAGACATTCAGATATTGCATAATTATTTGCTATTAATTATTTTCAAAATTCAGGAGGAGTTCTTGAATCTTGCTCTGAGCCATGTGGATGATTGCCGGACAATTTGTCAGAAGCTGAAGACTGCAGTCGACCCAGAGAAACCTGTAAAAGACACAACTGCAGTGCTGATTGTGCTTTATGAATTTGAAGCATTAGCAAGACTTGGACGAGCCCACAAGTTGATGGACGTACTCGAGAAGGCCATTGCCTTACCGTATCGACAGACAAAAATGTTTGAAACATTAGCAGGTCAAATTGATTTATTGTTTTAAATTCATGTTTTTTTAAATTAAACTAATAATGATAGGCCTATTGTTGGTCATAAAGTCTTGGTTAAAATGTAATTGAAGCATTGAATGCTTATATGGATCAAGTAACTTATAAAATCCTAATTTTTTTTTTAAATAACAGGGTTGTGCATGCAGACATCAGTTGCCTATAAAGACGTAGCTCTCAAAGCTCTCAATATTGCCTTTGAAATGCACATGGCTAGTGACATCATTGACTTTAAGAAATGCAGGTTAGAAGTGTATTATCATGTGTAACTAAGTGTTGTAAGAAATGCAGGTTAGAAGTGTATTATCATGTGTAACTAAATGTTGTAAGAAATGCAGGTTAGAAGTGTATTATCATGTGTAACTAAGTGTTGTAAGAAATGCAGGTTAGAAGTGTATTATCATGTGTAACTAAGTGTTGAAAAAAAACGTTCTGTTTCCACCAATTTCGATATTATAACAACTGATCATAGGGAACTCTTTCTCATGTTTTATATTTGTTTTTTATGAATTATATTCTTATATGAGGTTTGGCATCCCAAAACCAGCATCACTTACCAATTAATGAAAATTGTCTTTGTAATATATTCTTGTTCTCCACATTGTAAGCTTTAAAATGATGGGTCATTACTTGAATAGACTTACTATTTTCAAAGTTATGAAGGTTTCTCTGTACTAACGTATACACTACTGGCACATTCTTATGCTAATTACTCAGTTTAATAATTAGCGACAGTACGCTGGAATGGCAAGCCTCATATTTGTTGATGATCTGTGTACTCTCATTATTTTTTTCTTCGCATTCCCTTCTTCCATACTCACCAGGACTTTTTTTTTCTCTTTGAAACAGTAAAGTCATACACAGTCTAGTAGAGTTAACATCACAGAATGTCAACAAAAGTACAGGGACCAACAATGACAAATGTTGGGACATTTTTAAAAAGTCATTAGAAATTATTGAACAGAATGCAAAGGTTGGCTATTGTTATTTAATTGCTAGGAAGTTTTTTTGTATAAAGTCATTGTTAGGAACACCGTTTAAACAAGCTCTTTGAGTTTCTTTGGTGTTTCCTTTTCATTCATTTTCATTTATGTGTTTTTGAGAATGAATAAAATTAATTTGAATTGAATTGGAAAGGGGAATTTCGATTATGTCTTGCCAGGCAGAACAAATCATCGTTTACAATCTGATAAACTTGGCATTGACTGCAACCAAACACTTAAAAGTAAAATAAAATTATTAATTGTCCAAGTGCTGCCTTGCATGCTTCAGTCCCTACAGACTAGCATGTCTACACTAATTTCACTTGATTAATATTTCTGTATTATCTATTTTAATGATGTAAGGGGGAATACCCTGAGGTGGAGATACAGTGGCTAATGATAAAGGCATGGAACACAGGCATCCACATGTACAGGTTGGTGTGTTTCATTTCATTTATTTCGTCAAACAGAAAACAAAACATACAGAAATAACAATACCAAAAATCAGAGACAGGATAAACAAAAAGCAAACTAAATTGCTGTATAAAGTTTCTCCACTGATTTAAGGATACATAAAATATATAAATAAATCTCTGATCTGTGGAAGTAAAAGCAATTAAAAACGGCAAGGCACAGCGCAGCGCAGAACAGCCGCAGCACGCAAGAAACAATATACTGTTACTCTCATGGAGCCACTAGAAAAAAAACACTTGGATATTCCCAGAAACTTGATGGGAATAACAATAAATGATACCAGCAAACAGCGACAGCAAAATAAGTATCAGCGACGGCAGTAGCGCAGAAAAAAGAGAGATTTAAAATTATTAAAAATCAAGACAGTCAAGATTGTCCGCCATCGGAACCCTTACACAACAAATTTTATTTTTTAATGTGATCCTTTAAAGCACGAGGAAATTGAGAACGGCCAATCGACAAACTGTCGCGAATATGTGTTGTTTTCTGATCATTTAACGTTCGCATTCATTTGGTCCAGTTGTATAAAAGTTATAAATTACTGATTGATTATACATTTGAGATTGATTATATTGAAAAATGGGGTATTATAGATGATATATATAGTTATTGTATAATTATTATTATATGTAGTTATTGTCTATTCTATCATGACAATATATATATATATATATATATATATATATATATCGTTTCCTGAATAAATTATATTGTGTTCTACTGTCTAACTCAACGTTTCCGCATCATTATTTTCTGTCTTATTTTCTGTTTTATTATTTGAACACACGTGGAATAATTACGCTTGTACAAATCAGTTCCCAAAGAAGTTCTAGCATGGTCCTTTTCGTTACAGGCATCATAAACATATAACATGTAACATTGTATTTTGTTTAGTGCCGGACAGCATGTTGAGGCTGAGAAGTGGTGCAGTATGTCCTTGCAGTTCCTACATCATTTGCCTACAATGAGAAGCAATTACGAAGCTCATGTAATATGACTTGCCAATTATTCAAATACAGAGCAATTTTTGATGTCTCATGTATTCAGAATGAAACAGTATATTTTGTTGTTCAACAAAGTTTAAGTTGGGTGTGCACACCCCTCCTTTTATTTGCGTTACAGTATATACCTTATTGAACTGATAGTTTGTAGTAAGTGGCGGGCAGCCCCTACCCATGTTTTTCAAAATTAAAAAAAAAGGAGAATAAAAAGAAAATTATATTCAAATTTTGGGAGTTCAAATTCTGGCCATATAGGTGACATAAGCATAAATGTTCTTACTCACCAACAACTATGGTGGGGCTGAGTTGATCTAGACCTGCCATCTGTGAAAGTTCCTCCCTGGGCCCCCTCTATTTCAAATTCCTGAATACGCCACTGGTAATGATGATGATGGCAAAGATAACGGCAGTAACCATGAAGGTGGTGGTGATAACGTTGGTTATGATGATGATGATGATTATGATGATGATGATGATGAAAGTGATACAGGTGATCAACTACGATGATAACAGTGGTGTTGATGATAATGAAGACAACTGTGAGGGCAGTGTTGATAAAAATGTCAACATAAATACCTCTACCTTTTATATAATGATTTTCATTATATATATACATTTACATTTATTTTGCAGATGAATAACATATATGCAGAAATTCTGTCAAAAATTGAGAAAAACCAAGCAAAAGTAGGAACAGAAGAATAATGACAAGAAAAGTAAGCTGAAAAGGTGCTGAATTTCATCCACGCTCTAGAAATACTCTTTTCACACACCGGTGGTTGTTTTACAAAGTTACAAAGTTATAAATTTTGTTGATGTTAGCAATAACTATAATAATGAAGATGAATCTGTTGAATAATAATGATTATTATGATGAATAATATTATTTATAAAAAAAAGACAGTTAATAATATAGATTTTATGATTATTAAGAATAGTGATAGCAATAATTATGAATCATAAGAGTAGTCAGTTCTGTTTATTTTTGTTTTATCTTTTTCATTTTTATATTTTAAGGTTTTTTAATTTGTTATGAAAATGATTGTTTTACCTGCACAAATTACAGTGTTTAAAATATTGATGGTGTTTTCAATATTGTAACATATAATGAATGTTATCCTGTTAAATAATATTGATTATTATATGAATATTAATTACTGTATGTAAATAAGAAAAGTAATAATATAGATATTATGATTATTAATAATAGTATAACAATAGCAAAAATATAATTGATTCATATTAAAGTACAGTCAGTTGTTCTGTAGATATTTTTTGTTTCTTTTTCGTTTTGATACTTTAGAGTTTAAAATATTGGTGGTGGTGGTAGCAATACTGTACTAAAATGAAAATGATTCTTTGAACAATAATCATTATTATTATGAATAACATAAGTAAGACAATACTATAGATATTATGATTTGATAATAGTAATTACAATAATATAATTACAGTACAGTGAGTTCTGTATATTCTTTGTTTCATATTTTTCGTTTTAATACTTAAAGGTTATTAAAAGAAATTCCTCACAATCTATAATTAACGAATTATCTTCATAATCTGACTAAAAATTCAGAATAATTGACACAAAATATATTCAATGAAAAATACGTTAGAATGAACTACTACAGTATTTATTTTAGACACAAAGTTCTTAAAATAATTTAGGAAGTGGAAATTATGTAGTGAACGAGTCATCACTGAATTTCTGGGACGATTCGATGGAAGAATTCAATGGCATTAATAATAATTGTTTGCACATTAATAGCATGAATGACGAGCGAGTTTAAATGTGCGTTGTCAGCTAAAAAATATACTGAAAATTAATATTACATCACTTTGATAGAAAACAAACAGGATAAATGATGAGAATAAGATACTGAGATATTCTCAACAGTTACCAGTCTTCAGAACTATGCTCGTGGGGGTATCGATCACTCATATTCACCATTCATTCGCCATGCAAACCTTAAAACAATATTTTAGATTCGTCAATACATTATACATTATAAATTATAGGCCTCTGATTTGTGTTCATAATTGGTCGAAAGTTGTTGATAATTGGATGCGAAGTCGAATCTCCAAGTTGTCGAAACATATCCATCTGAAACAAGGAAATAGAGAGAGAATTAAAATTGTGTAAATAGCGCCTACACCTTTTTTTTAATTTTTTCGGTTGCTCGACTAATATACAAGACCATATTATTCCTCAATGGAGATGGCAGACAACGAGGAAAATTCTTCCCTTATAATGTTGTCTGTCATACTTAACTATTAGAAAAATACATAATCGAAACTTAAATAAGATATATCATCAGTACATGAAAATAAAATCTACATAGGTCTAACATTTGTAATAGTCGAACGAAAGGATTTGCCTATGATGTTGGGAGATGATTCCATAGTGAAGTAATATTTTGAAAAAAAAATGTAATGCATTTCAACGGGCTGGGCGTATATGTAAATTTATCGTTTGATTTGTGTAAGTTGAATATGAGAAATTTGCATATTGGGAAATTAATTAAGCTGGGAAACTTAAAAGCTGCATCGGCAAACACACACACACACACACACACACACCTGTCTCTTATACACATCTAGATGTGTATAAGAGACAGGAATTGTACTGTCCGTTAAGTGTCCCTTGTACCTGTCTCTTATACACATCTAGATGTGTATAAGAGACAGCTATATTACTAACGTTACCTGTGTCTGTGAAATTGTGATCGGAGTCTCGAAAACAGTCCAAATTACGGATTCGTAGCAAGGAGGTGTGGTGAGTGAACCGTTGTAATTCCAGTAGTTACCAAGTGGCATCGGTAGAAGACTGCTGAGATTGAACGGGGTCTGCACGTCTTTCGTTTGGCCTGTATTATGTATAGAATATAAACAACTAGATAATATACACAAGTATATCATTAATAGCTGGTAGTAGTGTTGTGACATTAACAGTTTGATTTCTTCGAACGTAAACACTTTTTGTTGAAATACTGTTAGTTTTGAAATCGATACACATTGTCTAAAATAAGCAATTTTATTTTTATGTTTATTTTTTTACAAAAATGGCTTGAAATGATTTAAAATAAATATATATTAGGTACTGAAGAAGTATTATATTATAATGTGATGAGAATGTCGTTTGTGTTTTTGAAACACCTATGTTAGTAAGTTTTGCAATGGGACTCTGCAAAACACTCATTTTGCGTTTTCGCATCCGTCCGAAAAAAAAATGTATTTTGCAAACTAAAAACTCTCTAAAATGTTTAATAAAACGTTTACTTGCTCGTTTAATTACCGTTATCAAATTTTATCAACAATTGATAGTCTTTTAATATATATTATTATGTAACTTACCCATTCCTAAGCCTGAGATTCCCTGGACTATTGATTGCATGGCAGTGTTATCGTCCTGAGAAATGCCAATGAAGAAGCCAAAGACAGCTAAGCCCATATTGCTATTCATTGCCTCGGAGACGTTATTGAACCGCGTTGAGTCGTAATGTACTATGTGCATCTGATCATAAAATATCGAAGTCGAGAAGCGTGAGGTTCATGCCAGGCGTTTACTACCCCCTCCTCAACAACCCCTTCCTCTCCCAACCCCTCAAAACAGGGGCCTAAGTAGGACTTTTATGGATGGAGGATCTAGACCACTAGTCAGCTCCACCATGGATAGTGGCACTTTCAGACTTATATTTAATTTTCATTTCCCTCATTTTTCTTTATTTTAAGTTTAGATGGGGGGGGGGGGGGGGTGATAGAGGTGGTGTGGCGGCTGGGTCCCTCTGGAATCCGTCTTCATTGTGGATAGCAATACATTATAGGCCCTACTGATAATTACAAATAGGCCTGCTTATATAGGCTTATTATAATTATATTTACAAATTGAATTGTGTTATTTGTGTATGTTTTCGTGTTTTCCTTTCTAAATTGTCTCATATTATGATAATCACCCTCTGCCCTGAATCGCATAAATAACATTACCTCTGCTGGGTAGGCTTGTCCACGCACGGTATGCTCGGAGCCTACATCGTTTGTCATTCCCCAGTGAAAATGAAACTGTTCGGCTAAGAAGACAGTAGACAGCAACGGTCCCCCTTTAGAATTGTACTGTCCGTTAAGTGTCCCTTGTACTGTAAACAATAATCACGAAAAAACTCAATTACTTGATTGCTACCTTGCTAAACGAAAAATTACGTTAAATTGATCATATTATTCATACCGTTTCTGTATTAGGCCTATATCATAGAATATTAGGCCTATAAGAATATAGTGATATTGGCATATCAATAGACTGGTAGTTGCTATATAGATTTATATCGATATCAGTATATCAATACTGATAATAGGTAGTAGGCAGATGCTAGAGGGAGGGCACCCCGTTGGTCACTTCCTACACCCCCCTCCCCGCCTATGCAAATAGCGTTATTTTGATTACCAATAGGACTACTTAATATTGTGGTCTAAAGCAGAATTCGGGCAAGTCATAAAAACTCTTCCCTTAAACGGTACTAGGGATTTTTATCCGGCCCCGAAATCTAGACTCAGAAATACCGGGATCACGTCCGGCAGGGGATTTTATTTTATTTTGTTTTATTTAAACAAATTTAAAGAGGTATCCATTTCAACTTCCCCGAAGGGAGGCTGATGTCCAGGTGCCCCTTTTCAATAAATAAAATATAACATTATACAATGAGTCACCACTTAGATACAATATATAATTTCTGAGTTTTATTATATATGTATAGGCCTACTCAGTAACAAATAAATAAAATCAATATATAAAATTAGATAATATTGCTGTTATATTATATATTATGATATATCAATCACTCAAATAGGCATACAAACATGGGTAAGACTCAAACAATGAAAGAATAAATTTACTAAAAGTTATATACAATTAATTATGTACAATTTATTGATTATATAATTTGAATATAAAATTTATAATTTTCCGTCTTTAATATACAATTTATTGTTTCGTTTAAAAGAATAAAATGATTCTGACTTTCGGAAGTCGTCAGGAAGGCTGTTAAATATGGTAGGGACAGGAAGATAAAATTATCTTTTATAGCATTCAAGTTTTGTCTTAGGTAATAGTTTTACCTTTAGATGACTAGAAGTTGACGGATGTTGTCAAATACCTATAAAAAGATTCTAGATTCAAGAACACTTTATTGTCCATTTTGATATAGGAATTTGTTTTTCCTTTGCAACAGTCTTGGTTAAAAAGGATAAAATTACATGAAAAATCACAAGACAAACAACTTGGCAATGACGAGAAATACGTTAAGATATTCCATGTTAAAATAGTAATGTAGTAAAAAGTGAAAATAAAAATCACTTTAAAATTTACTATGTGTACCTCAGAAACAGACCAGCCATTAAAACTATAAAAACCTAGCATTTTGCTATAAAATGATGAGAGTATGCTAATTAAATAAAACATGTACACAGGGTATAGTATGCTTATTCCTCCATGCATAAATAGAGTGCAAGAAACACGAACATAATTATATTATATAATATAATATGAATAACAAGGAATGTGCGCCAATTATATTTATACGAGTTGACGGATAGTGTAAAATATATATAAAAAGATGTGACGTAATTAAATTAAACATGTGTTATGGATACACAGGGTACAATATGCTATGCATTATTTAGTAAACCTATTTTTTCTATTTAAAAATGTCTTTTGAATTAAGCCAGGTGAATACGTTAGATTTTCAAATAACAGAGTGCTAGTATATTATTTAGTATTATTATCTAGTTTTGGTTTATTAATGGCAATAGGACATGTATGTAGGTATTCCCATCATATGGACAGGTATAAGTGATAAATACTCAATTGAGCAATAAGAATCATGAGATCTACTTTGGGTGGAGGGTCGATATTAGAATAAGGTACTGTACGTTTCTACAGGGGTTCAACTCAGGCCCTACAACAGTCCCGGTCGGGGTGATAGGACAAACGCCAAGGAAAATCAGCAATTTTAATTAGATACTTATTAACTGATAGATATAATTATTAATCAATTAAACTGATCGATATCCACTTTTTGTCATAAAAAAAAAATCCCTGACATTGCCCTGGCAGAGCTATGACCCGGGTTCGAGACGAACACGTGTCAATTTTTTAGAGTATTTTTGCAACATACTGAGCAGGCCGTATGGTAATACGTCGGCTAGTGTAAAACATCATTTTTAAAATATCATTTATACTATTAAGCAATGTTTAACTACCATTAGTACTTGTATGTACGTTATTATGAAATCCCATGGTGACACAAATATAAATGGTAAAGCATGAATGGTTAATTGATATATATAGTACAAGTATGAATGTCTGATATAATAGAATAGTGCGTGTTTTGAGCTGTACAACGACAAAACTATAAAAAAGAAAGTCATGTTTATGCAATGATTATGTACATTTTGACCAGACCAATAAAAATAGCTTCCGACGTGCCTGTAAATTCGGACCTTCTATCTTAAAATATCTGGATCCCCCACTGGGTAGGTCATATAAACAGGAACATGTACCGATAAATCAATAATAAAGTGTACTGGTAAGTCTTATAATACATCGATATCGATATATTAATAAGCAATAGATCCTATATAGCCTTTATACAGTAATAGATTCTCACCTGTATGCCCATTATTGGTTATTGACAATGGACGGCCCGAGTTCCAGTCACATGTGAGCTCAAATGGCAACATTGACTGAGCTGGGGCGATGACTGCATTCGGGATGTCGATTGGTGATTGTCTATATCCTCCCGAACATATCGGGTAGCCTATTTCTCCCCAGTGTTCAGGCCCTATGATAATGCAATATGAATTTATAGTAAACAAAAACAACAATTTTTGTGGACATGTTATCACAATAACAATGATGGAATTTTTTAATGGTATTTTCTTCAATGTCAACACATTGGGTGCCAGGAAAAGATCTTACTATTTAATACATACAGGTAAAAAAATCTATAAATTCAGAAGAATAAAATAGAATGAAAATGGCCATTTTAATATATCCATGGTGAAAATTAATATATTACTACTTAAAAACTTAATTTTGAGATGAGAAATTACTCATTGATGTTCTGGCCTTAACGTTAAATGAATAATATTTTATTAGTACAATATTGTACATCAAATCAGTGAAGCTTACCTGTTGATTCTTCATAACTCCAATTAGAAGCTGTAAAAACCCCGAACAAGAACAATTAATTCCATCAAAACCCTCATCGCCATTAATTTAATCATTAACATCACCATTAGCAACAATAACATCATCCCCTTCAGTCACTATTATCATCATCCTAACCATCAGCAGCGATCACCATGATCAATAACATCATTTTAATGATCATTAAAATCATCATCATCTACATTACCAACACCATCGTCATACTTATCTTCCTCATCAGCATCATCAGCATCGTCATCATCATCATCATCATCATCATCACCATCATCATCATCATCATCATCATCATCATCATCATCATCATCATCATCATCATCATCATCATCATCAATACTACAACTATCGCCACTACCATTATAATTGTTATCATTATCATCATCATTATTATCATCATCATCATCATCAACTTCACCCTCTTTTCCTCCTCCTTTATCATCAGCATCATTATCATCCCCATCATTCTTTTTATTTGGAGCACAGTTACTTTAGTTGTCTCACATTTAAAGAATTCTGTATAATAATTGATCGTCAGACATGTCTAATGATATTTATCCGCTACAAACACCGAATTATTAAAATAATATAATAGGAAACAACACGTGCACAACATGATATGCTGACTGATGATTTAGCAATTTCTGAGTAAGGTTTACATTTATCAATTTAATCTACATAATTACAAAAATACTCTACTGACTAAATTATTGAATTGTAGACGTTTTATGTTTGAATGTCATTGCGACCTCTTATATAGGACCTATACATATACCGAAAGTTCCACTGATTAATCTCAGATAAGAAAGTATAATACATAGGGCCTAGTCCAAGTATTGAAATGCACGCCATCGTGTTGGGATTCATTATTTCGACATTAATTATGTCATCATCATGAAATGACATAATGATTTCCTGATGATGACATAATTAATGTCGAAATATTGAATCCCAACACGATGGCGTGCATTTCAATACTTGGAGTATGTATTACACTTTCTTATACATACAGTAATATACAGTATGTAAAATATAATACTGCGTAGCGGTAATGAAAACTCAGATAGGCCTATATAAAATGTTGACTTAGAAACACTAACATTTTTGCAACTTTAAATGTATAAATATATAAATAATGCACATTTATGTCCGTAAATTCAGAACAACAGTTTCTCGGCATCAAACCCTTCATAACATATTTGGTATTCATCTCTATACTTACCACTACTATTTGCGAAGATAAATACTAGGGAAGCTACGAAGATTCGCATCAACATCTAAAAAAGGCCAAGATATTGTCTGCTAAGTGCTTTAAAACCAAGAAGAGCCAAATAATATTAATGAATAAAGCACAATAACTAATCCACACTCCACATAGGCCTATGGTCCAATGGAGCACTAACGGAACTCTGGTTGGCCCTGAAATCGATCTCTCTAATGATTATCACGTTCACACAATTGATAATAAAATTGAAAACAATCAAAGCGATTGATTTTTATGTCTCATTATCTACTGTATATACTACATCTGTCATGATACAAATAATAATGTGTATATAGTAATTTAATGTTTGTGAAAGAAAAATATTAAAATATATACCGGTATATAGACTAGCATTATGTAATTTTCCACGTAACAAATAAATTGACATCGTTTGTTATATTTTGTATATGGCTATTCTAATATCAATTTAAGATTTTTTGTAGTAAAAGAGATGAATTAGCGAAAAAAGGTCGGTCTGTGTCTCATTAGAAAATTCTTTTAAAACAAAATAATGTGTATCGAAGTAATACCTCGTCGGCCTGGTTTAAATGCCAATAAACAACCATTATTTCTCACGATTTAACCACATGAAAATAATTGAGGTACATTGTCTTTTTCCATTACTAGAAAATTGCACTTGTTTTTGGAACTGAAAAGAATAAAACATGGTAGCGCTTATGCGGTGGTCAGGACGGACTAAGACCTAAATTATTGGTCTGTGGACTAAACCAGAGGCACCGTGTGTCGATCGGGTCGTGGGGGGAAACACCTTCGCACTCCGATACGTTATAGCATACCATTCCTCCATAGACATACCGACAAATAAGGAATGTGCAGAGATAAGTATTATATTTATCTAGAGTAATATTAAATAATAGAATAATAGGCTCTCATTTTGTAAATAGAAATGCTCTTCTGAAGCCCGATTGTCGTTGGCCTTCGTGTATCCTGTCGACAGTGAATTCCCGGCTCATGCACTGTCTGAATTTACGGGATGGTGGGGGGTGGGGAGTCTCGGTAACACCGGACTTATTGCAAGAATAAAAGGTTCCTTTCGTTAAAAATTAAATCACTCGTGTCGTCGTGGGATCAGAAAACAGCTGTTAACCTATTTTACTCATTTTAATCATTGACTTCAACCAAACATAATATTTATTTTATTTATTGAATTTTCTTTCAAAATTGATTTTGAACAACTTATTTTGATATACTGATATTGAGTCTAGTTGAGAGTTTTCAAATTTATTTTCTCCACTTTTTTTTTTCTCCGCGATGTAGGTGTTTTAATAAAGTTTGTGGTAAAAACAGACATGGGCCTAGGCCTATTTTTAATTTACATTTAATTTGTTCATGATTGCCATGATCTATTTCATATTTCGTTCATTAGAAAGTTATGCTTTTTTCAAAAACAGACATGGGCCTAGGCATTTCATTTAGGCCTACATTTAATTTGTTCATGATTGCCATATCGATTTCAAATTTCGTTTATTAGAAAGTTGTTTTTTTTCAAAGTAAACAGCGATAATTATATCAATATTGCTTCGCTCAGTCTGTACATTGTATCATAACATAATCTTGATATAATGTATGGACCACACTGCTTTTGCAATGCACAGCTTTTGTTTGTTTTGTTTTGTTTGTTTTCAAAGGAATTAGGCCTACAATATTATGCTTAGGGCCTACAGTACTAAATATTTAAGAGCACACCCTTCCCAAATCCTCCCCTCGGACCATGTTCCTCGATTAACGCTTAATATTGAAAATAAAAGTTTGCAAGGGTAGATAACATTTTGAAATGAAAACAAATCAAAATTAATAAACATAGGTTACATTATAAGATTCGAGCAAAATTCGTTTGCAGACTAGCTGGTATATCATTAATATACTTTTTGATTATTAAATCATAACAAACTATAATAAGATAATAACCTATTCTAAATTCCTATACTCAAATTTTATTCTACTAACCTACAAATATCAACAGTGAAATACAAAAATCTAACCTTTTGAAAAACGCCGCAAGTCGGTGGGATCTGTAAACAGCAAACGTGAGTGGTGGATGCTCAAAGCTAGAATGAAGTTGCATTGAAGCCTTATGCTCGTTATCAGTACTGTCTCAGTTCCATACACTTCCGGACTATATGACAGCTTATGTTTTGTAATGTAAATTATTACCTGTACTTTTAAATGATTGTCACACCGTGGAATTAGCAAATGACATTTAAATTTGTCAGGATTTTCCTTGAATAGGCCTCTGCCACGTTACAAAGAATGTAGACCTCAATCCCTCAAATGTATTTCATTTATTTATGCAGACAAGTGACATGGGTCTCCAAAAAACATTACAAAAGTCTGGAGCCCCAGTGCTATTACATTCAAGTAGTGGGCCTCTCCGCAAGCTCCTACCATTGGGTATTGTTGCTAAAGTGTGGCACTTTTAACGTAAACGCAGTAACTTGCATGTCTGTGGGACATGCGCGTACGTCTGGCTATTGAATAACATGTTCTGACTGATCGGTTGTTGACACTTTGAAAAGGTCTGTTATTACCTCTCAATTGAAATGATAAAACATTTAGAAAGTTAACAATCACATAAATAATATAGTTTACACAGAATCTTATATTTTACCGTTATGGCCATAATGTAAAATTATTCATACACTCTGTAAGTGTGCAAAAAATTGTTTTTATCTGATATATTGGAAATTGTTAATTTGTTTGTATAAAATAAGTTTATATATTTTTGACAGGTCTCTGCCACGTGATCGAGTAACTGGACCGCTCCACTAAGCCCCTGGTGTATTGTTGCTAAAGTGTGGTACACTGTACCTTTAACGTAAATGCAGTAGCTTGCATGTCTGTGGGACATGCACGTATGTCTGGCTATTGAATAACATATTCTGATTAATCAGTTCAATTCAATTCAATTCGATTTATTCATTTATTGAGTCACAATCAGTACAAGATGATATTAATGATTAATGATGGTTTAAGAGGCTTATATAATATTGAAGATACCGTCTGCTGTAAAATATATTATCTAAGCCCTGTATTTTTTTTTAAATAAAAAAATAAGCTGCAATGTGTGTAGGTGTAGGCCTATGTCCCTGTTGCATTTGACATATATTATGCTTCACGTCCATCCTTGAGCTTTGCTCTTTTAACTATTTTATTATTTTTAACTATTTTATTATTTTTTATACTTCAAATGATCACATTTATATTTTCTTCAAATCTACACATAATTTCAAGCGTGACTCATTCATTATTGATGATTACTAAAAACCTTATGATGAAAATGTCAAAAAAAAACAATAAAACAAAGAATGAACCTTTCTAGAAATTTTTGAAAACCAGTTTTATTAACTTATTAAACAAAATATATAAACAGATTGTGTGTGGAAATACAACAATTTATAAATTCTACAATGTCATGTGTTATTGTTGTAAAATATTGATAATATAACAATATATACCATATCCACCAATGATTCATCACTTATGAAATTTTGAAACATAATTATTATAAATTACATAATCCATTCTGGATAAATATTAGTAAATAGTGGGATGTGTGGTAACTACAATGACCTCTAAAGGATGACTCGTGTGTGTCGAACAACGGTCAGCTAACCATCGGTGGTGAATTCATCCACGTCTCTGCCAGCTCAGGCCCGATGCAGCTGTCTGGTTAATGGTCGAACAACGATGATTATTTTAACTCAGGATATTAGAATTGGTCTTAAATAATTTAAAAGAAACCTGTCAAACACACATGTGCAAATTTATATTAATATACAGTATTAAAATAATAGAATAAATGATATCATAATACTGTACTATTTATAGAATGATACCGATTTATCCAGGCTTTACTTAATACAGTTTAGCATGATATGAATAACATCACCTATGGAATGTACTTACAATGTGAGGACATTTATAAAGACCATAGTTAAACATAACTTCCCATTTAAACTCCTTCAAGTAAAAAAAATATTAATCTCTAAATCAGACTAAAATCATTCATTGTCGAGCTTTAATAAGCACTCGGCTAAATATTCGTATTCAGAAATCTCGTTGTGAATATGGCACGATATTCTAACATACAGTATACCTTGAATGCTCTTTATCGGCACCTGCGGAATAGAGAAATTAAAAAATTACCGACTTCAAAATTGTGAAATTTTGTTAGAAAGATACATTATTTGAAAAAGTTATTGAGATTGCGTTTAGATATAGGAGTCACTCATCTGTAACAACTGCTCTGGTTGTGTTACTTATAACACAGATGTGTCACATAGTGTTGTAACATCAGCAATGGTGTACTCTCTTACATAATAAATTTGACAGAGGACTGAACTATTACCTCTATAGAAAATCTACTGGACAATTTCTTCTGTATTGACTCTGCAAGGTCGTAGTTCACTTCTCTGTTAGTATAGAGACGTTTGGGAAGAGCAACCAATGCCATAGTACCTATAGAAAAACATTAAAAATAACAATCACTATGACTATTGGCACTGTAACAAGAATAACCCAAATTTCATGGCACCAACTTTTATCAAATGCATGTTTATGACTATAAAAAGGACTGTATCTTAAAGTACCATAGTTCCTTCTAATTATAGAGGTTTTGAAAGCAAATCTTTTCAATATGGGATAAATATTAACAAGTAATCAACTCACCAAACATACTGACAGGGGCACCTAGTCTTGTTCCTAGTCTCTCTACCAGCATATTTGCTAAAATGAATATTTACATGAATATTTAAACAAAATTTTCAAATGTAATATTAAAACGGAAAATAGTTTCAAAGTTCCCAAGCCAATGAAATGAAATAGCACCCTTTAAAGAGTCAGCTGGAGCAATATGGTGAAAATAATTAAGCATAACAAACAGAATCAACAAAAAATGAATCGCATACACATGGACAAGCTATAAAGCAAGCTATATTTGATAGTAAACTTCTATTTGTGTTTATTCCAGCCGACAGTATTATGAATATCATTAATTACAAAAATATGATCTTTGAATATGAAATTAGTTTCCTAGACAAGCCCTGTCCAACAATTAAATCTATTCAGATGTTTAACAACTGAATATTGCTGAAAGGTCAAAAAGTATAAAATGAAGAATATTGAATGGTATAAATAGAATTTCGGTGAATAGCACTGAATGGTATAAAGTGAAAACTATTGAATGGCCTAAAATATCTATTATTGTTTGTAATACCATTAAAAAAATTAGCATATCAATCAATTATTATAAACATGGAAATGTTATGGAGAATTCTTTAAGAACAGTTAGCTTTTTAACAAAATGATCTAACAGGTGTTATGCCAGTTGACAGGGTTCTGATTATCACAAATCAGAAATTTAGGCTTTTAAATACAGGTCTCCCTCTAATTAAAGACCACTTTTCTGTGGTCCCATTTTAACAAATGTCTTTTAACTTTATTACTCTAATTAGAGACCAAAGCTGCAGACCATGGAAATCCTGGTCCTGAAAGTAGACTGGAGGGAGACCTGTATACAAATAGTTTCTTAGACCTGCTGCCCTGTTTAACAGTTAAGCACAATTTAACTTGAAAAATATATGGCATAATGTGAAGAATGGTATACTCTAAATAGTATTTGAATTGAATAACATTAATATGATATGAATAATATTGATTGTGAAAATAACTACTGTACTATTGAATACTGTATTGTACACTGAAGAGTGCACTGGAATTGTGGATTAACTCACCAGCTTGTTCTGTTAAGTTGTACATGTACCCCCTCATCTTCTTTAATCCGACTGCCTCCCAAAAATCTATTATCGTCGGCAGCACTAAAAATGGACTGTAATCCTTCAAACCTGTCAATCATTACGCCAAGCAATAAACATAAAATAACATGAAATAAATAAATATTCATGTAACAATTAATACTGATGCAGTCATTAAATGCCCTAAAACTTAAAAAATTTTGAATTACGTGAAATATCTTAAGCCTATTTTGTGAATATTTAATGGTTAAAATGGCTACTATAATTAGTCCTTTTTAACATACAATGGCAGTAGTCTATTATGCAGGTTATGAGTGACCTACTCATACACACTATCAAAATTACTGCTAATTTGTCTCTAAATGATAAGTCAAAACATTTTTATGGCTTTTCTTCTATAATATTTAGTAACTGTTTTGTTTGGACTGTTTTTTTTTTTAAACATTCAGCATAATCACAATTTATAGGTGTAATAATTTGTTCTTGTAATCATTAGTAAATTATGAAGAATACTGTTGATTAAATTAAAGTTTATTTTAGATAAAAAAAATTTAATACCTGACCACATAAATTCAGAGTTAAACCCACTCCCAAAACCATGTGATATGACAAGTGGTCTCACAGACTTCTGCAGCTCTTTCCTAACGTAGAGGAAGGCAGCGCCTTTTGGAGAGCAAAACCATTTGTGAGCATTGCTTGAATAATAATCTGCACCAATATCGTGTAAGTTAATCGGCAGGGAACCAAGGGCGTGTGCACCGTCAATGAACACTGGGACTGACCTTAGGCAAAGTTAAAAAGAAATGTAGAAAATAAAACTTGCTGACTAAATTAGATGAAAAAAGTATGTTGTGTTGAAGAAGTACAGTGACATTTGAAAATAAGAACTGGTTGATCAGCAACTTTCTAAAAATATTTTATACACTATTGTGCAGAGTCATAATTATTTTTTATTATTATTGATGAATTGATGTATTTTATGATGAACTTTTGATATTTAACCTTTGACATAGGTCATTATATAATTAAAGTATGGAGCTTTTGATTGCACGACAACGGTGGGACCTAGATAGTAATGATGCCACTAAAAAGTCCACAGCACATTCAAGAATTTTGAGTTCTCGTCATTTGGATTCTAAGACGTAATTTGGCCCGAATCTATGTCGTGCAGAGAACATAGGATGGTCATGCATGAGTGAATTTGTTATAACTTTACATCGTCACTCAAATAAAAAAAGCTCCATATTACGTATTTAGGTTAGAACATGAGAGAAATGGAGTAGAATGTTTGAGAAGACCAGAGGCTACATACTTTACCTTTCATGACAGACTGCTATAAGCTCTTTAATAGGCATTATGAACGGAGCATTGCTTGGAACATGGTCAAACACAGCTATCTTTGTACCAGATCTATAAAATACAAAGTATCATCAAGACCTGCTTATCTTAATGTATTGATGCAAACATTATGGTACAGCAGGTTTGGGATTTTCATATAGTACCCAAGAAACTCATCTAAGTTTAAATGTACCAGCAATGCTGAAAATAGGGATAGGGATTGGCAACAGTGGGACTGGAAACCTTAGTACGTCTGCCGTATAAAAGTTCAACAACCAAGAAACTTCTATAAACCCAAAGTACTCACTTGATAGTTGACTTAACTTTATTAATTATCTGGTGAGCGCCCTCTATAGGTATTATGATAGTCTCCTCTTGTATAATAGCCCCAGTTTCTTCAGCAATGTGTTTTAGCAATTTCTTTACAGCACCTATGATCACAAAATCAGACGTTTTTAAAAAATATGGCTATACAGTACATAAGTAAGGATCTGTGGTCTAGAAACAGACCCAGAGGCAAACCAACTGTGTGTACAATCAATAGTAAATCAGCAATTTTTTTTTTTTGGTGCATTATTGGGAGTGAATAACTTATTTAACATTTTAGCTACTCAATATTGAAATTGAGTTTTTTAAAAATATATCATGACAGATGGTATTCTTAAATTAACAACTAATGCAATTCGTACCATATGTCAAATTCAAACTGTAGATAATATCACCAGGCTTGAATTTGATACCCCGTAGAATGCTGTTCGTTGCCGTGGTTACATTAGTTACCAGTAGAATGTCAGTCGGGTCACATCCTGTAGATTAAAAACAATTACTTTAATTATATAATTAGTTGAAAATGTATAAATTTAACAAGGGTTTTATTATCATTATATATCAGTAAATACTAAATTATGTAAAGACCTTTGACCTATAAAGAAATACTTCAGTGTTCTCATTTTATGTTAACAAATAATTCCATTTTTGTATGATACATATATAACATATATAATAAAATAAATAAAACGTTTATATTTTATTTAGAATAAGCTAAGCACCTTTTTTCATGCATGTACTAATATGAATACATAATATTCAAAGCTAGAGTGCCTGTAATAAGTGCACATTCCCCCTCAGTGCCTGGGCAGCGGCAGGGTAACATCAAGGATTTCAAAAGCTGGAAGACACAGGCAGGTCCTAAGTGCTGTATAAAACTTGGAGGCAATGCTCCCAAGTAGCTTATACCCTGAAGAATCTGGCACTGTAAGTGACACAGTCTTAGCCATGAAGCAAAGGAAAATGATATTTTAATATTAAGGCCAACCAATATTCAGTGGTCACCCCTATTAAAGGAGACACATGTATTGGTCCTTAAGCTGTTCCCTACACTATAGTTCTACACTATTACAAAATACTGAAAAAAGTTTCTGCATGTACCAACAAACTTAGCTAGACGTCTTGTGACATACACCAGATGTGGGAATATTTCCTTGTCCAGGAATCGTAATGGTTGTCTTTCCATATATTTCTGCCACCGATGAGATAAATCAAGGATATTGCTAAGAACTGCTCCAAATGCACCATGGTTCAAGAATGTACACTCCTACAATAATAAAAAAAAATGTACAAATGATGCCATTGCTACTCTCCTTGTACTTCAGCTGGAGGAAGGTAGTGCACCATCCTTCGGATGAGATTTTAAAGCTGTTGGTCCTCTGTGCATTATGGCATGTTACAGTACACAGTACACTCTTCAGAGAAGAGTAGGAGAATTGTCTTCCCATGTACTGCACAATCACAACCAGAAGGACTCACTGGAAATAAGTCTCCACCAGACTTTTGTGAGTTATCCTGTGTGTTCACACCAAATAAATCCATCCATCCAACAAATATCATTTTAAATAAGTAAACTAGACTGAGATCAGATGGACTTGAATGTGATTTATCAATCACTGCACATTAAGTCATTAGGCCTACTGCTGAAGAAGCGCATCGAGAAAATCTTAATATGTGGTACATGATCAAGAGAGCTATATGAAAACTATATTATAATACTGCCAATTTATATAGTATCAATTTTATGCTGTCATCATTATCAACAACATCGTAAGAAATAAAAATGAAGTACACACAGTAGGCCTACCTCTTCTAACAGAAAGTATTTCCTCTTAGCTGGTAGTCCAAATTCAATTTCCAAACTCTTACTGCTTACAAATTCTGGAAGCTCAATTTTAATATCTGGTGCTACATATTCTTCCTTCACAAGTAATTACAAAAATTATTAAGCAAGTATTTTATTTACCTATCTATAGGCACACATTTACACACATAAAAACAATAGGCTACTGTGCAATTTTTGAGCATCAATTATTATTAAATATAAAATGTTTATTCCTTCAAAAAAATTGAATGTTATAACATTAGAATTGTTTAAGGGCACATAGAAAAAATTATTTGATTATCACTTTAAAAAAAAAAAAAAGTGATGAAGGCAGTTGCTTTTTTTCCCCTTTATAATCGGAACAATAAAATATTGCTTTTTTATATCGATCTAGGAGGGACTGTTTTTATTTGGCAAGAATATTGTAAATATTGTATACAAACTGGTTTAATTTTATTGTTTTTTTAAAGAAAATGTCACAAAATGGCATTGTTCTCTTTATGCTGTTGAAATAAATGCTGCTGCAAAAAATTGTTTTTTTTTTTTATTATTCCCGCATCAATGTTTCCCAAATTTTCGACGCTAGCGGGAGTGATAATCTAACAATTTTTTTCTATTTACCCTAGGCCTAATATATATATAAGAAATTTTCTACACATTTTCTTATATGTTATGTATACATTTATTGTATGCATATATCTTAGTTTTGATATTATGGGGTATGACATTTTTTGGCCTAGATTTAATTAATAATAATTGAAATTACCTCAGGGAGCTGGAGAAGTTCCTGGACGTTTGAAGACTGGAAAGACCCAAAATCTCTCTTTGCAACTGCTGTGAAATTAAAGAAAATTACTGTTACTTATATTACATACTTGTTTACTTGTGGCGGACCTCACCATAGACTCGGAAAACTGAGAATATTGGCATAATTGCCACCAGCCACACACTCACTGGCCAGGCTGACTGGACGGATACGTCAAACTCGGCTGGGATGGGTTAAGTTTGATGATTCGTTAGCTTGATACATTGAAAGCAATTAAACAGCCAATAATTTACCATTTTGCATGATGAATACCGCAATAGTTCTGAAACTTTTCAATGAACTGCTACCTAGGCCCCAGTAGGCTAAACACCGGCGTAACTCATCATAACATGTTGTATTAGAAGGTATTAGCATTAATTGACGCGAATTAGCGCAGGTTGACGCGATTTAACGTAGGTTGACGCAATTTAGCATAAGTTGACGCAATTTTTCATATGTTGACGCGATTTACCGTTGTAATGATGTTGGTTGACGCGCGTTTTTTATTTTTTATAGCGGGCGCTTAGTCGGCGCCTTGCACACAAGATTTTCTGCAGCATTTATTAGGCCTAGCAACCTGTCCACGTTTAATGCACAGCCTTATTAGTTAAGATGTCTAACAACTATGTTGTCACTGCCCATAAACCAACTGCAGTCAATGCATGCGTTACAGGTACAAAACTGGCATATATATCTTTGTTTATGTAGTTTTATCAGTAGTTTCTAGTTAAACGTACTGAAGGATCACTTACTGTGTTACCACTGGCAGCTCTCATCATGGGTTAACCGCTCTTCCTGGACCATGACATAATGTATGGCTGGGCTAGGCCTACCTGACAGTAGACTTAAGTAACCGTTTTCAGGGCTGGATATTTGGTAACCGTTTTCAGGGCTGCATGCGAAACCGTATTAGCGCCGACTATAATTACACTTCGAATCTAACTAAAAGAAAGGCTAACTAGTTTGTTTTGTGTATGATTATTTATTTTTGTATTTTTTGTTTGTTTTTTTGCTTCATTCGTGATACAAAACCAAGTAGGGGCTGGGCCGTAGGTAGGAGGACGGCCCTAGGATGGTTTCACCATGAACAATGGAAACATTTTGTATTGTATCTTTTGTCAATTTGAATAATTGAATAACTAAGAAAAATATCCTAATACTGGCAATTACTGGAATGTAAAGTATTTTAATTGCCTGGATGATGATACCTCAAAAACTAGCTCAAATTTGCACGGAAAATTGCTGGGAAAATATGTGTGCAGAATCGTAACTACTGCTTAATAATACATTGTTACATTACTGTATTTAATTAAGATTAGGTCAAAACCTTATTTTCGCAAAATCTACACGGAAATTAGCCCTTATTTTCCGAAATGTGTGAACGGATTTCTATATATTCCCAGCACAGGCCTTACTTTACAGTCTGGGATAATTATAATATAATAAATATGCATATTGACTATGATATTGAAAGTAATAAAAAGATTGTAGCGAAATCAAACAACATATTTTATTTATTTTAAGGTGATAGCCTAGGCAAGGCCTATTTCTCAGTGGTAGCTGATATGATAAACCTATTTATTTTTAAAGTAAGGATAGCTGTATAAAGACAATCAAAACAAAAATAGTATTCTTCTGAATACTATTACTGTCAGGTCAGGGCCTCCTTGACACAATTTTTATCGTGGAAGGTGCTCTACAAATTTACTCTATCAATTCAGTTCATGGGTACCATTCATACTGTAAAGTAATTTACTGTAACTGTGCGGATGATACCTCAAAAACTAGCTCAAATTTGCACCGAAAATGTGTAATTACAGCATATATATTGGTTACTGTATAATATACATTAAGACATAGGTAAAGGCCTAATTCAATTCGGAAATAGTTGATTTTATTGGTTAATTTTATCTTTTGGTTAGGTAATTTCACTGGGCCAAATGACTTGAACTTGATCATTGCCAAGAATACACGGTTGGAGATATACCTTGTCACACCTGAGGGTCTTCGTCCCGTCAAGGAAGTATGCATGTACGGTCGCATAAGCACCTTGAAGCTCATACAGTCTGAGGTAAGTCAATGGGATATGCACATCAAAATCTAAAAATAAATCTCCATAGTGTTATGACATTTCTATCAATAAGTACAGTACATTATAGACTATAGTCCCATGTTAAGCTAGTTGGTAAGTAAAATTCAATTATTTCAGTATGTGAAAAATGAAAGCTTTGAAATGGCATTTAATGCTACCTATTTTATTGCTCATTAATTGTAATATGCCTTTTTTTTTTTACAAAGATTATAAAAAGATGTACTGGTAGTTCTAAATAGTTTAAAGTTTTACTCCTCATTCTTAACCTGACTGGGTTTGAAGTGGGTGAACACTCTGGCCTTCAGCAATTCATTAGTTGGCCCCAATAACAAAATATTTTGTTTGGTATTTGTACTTTTTTCATGTTCATGGTAAGATCTTCAAATTTTTCAGAGCTCTGCTAAAAGTCAGTTATTTGTGCTGACAGCGAAGTACAATGCTGCCATCTTGGAGTATAAGCAAGACGGCAATGAAGTAGACATTATTACAAAAGCACATGGTAACGTACAGGTGAGAAAATAATTAAAGATAAGAGTACATTACATTTTTCATAAACTCTTGAATCATTTATAACATTGGGCTGCTCATGTAAAAGGATCATTTAGGTCGTAGGTCACTAACTAAATCAACTGTTTAGTAAAATGATTTAATATGTTGTACTGTAATATCAACTGAAACAAAAATACATTATGTAATCTGTATATATTAAAAAATGTACTGTTTGTGTTAGCCTAGTAATCTATTAAAATTTATATATGAATTTTATATTTTGTATATTAATTTATTATTTATTTCCTTTTGAAAAGTAGAATGAGAAAACAGACACAAGAATTATACTGGATTAAATTAAAGTATTTTTATAGTGAAAGTCTGTAAATCAGTGAAAATTTAAATCATTCGATTTGTCTGTGGAATTTAAAGCAATCTCCACACTATCAAATCTTATGTGACAAATTTTTGTTATGTGCTCGTATATGGGCATGATGATGTCATATTACACACCCAAATATGGGCACATTACATTTTTTTTGTCACATAAAATTTGATAGTGTGAACAGAGCTTAATAACTTGAGCTCTGTCCACACTATTCCAATTTTATGTGACAAAATAAATGTGATATGTCCATATTTGGATATATTATAAAGTTCAACTTTATTTATCCATGCAGACCCAGATCAGCAGAAGCCTGGTTCTCATGAGAGCCCTAGTATCCGGATCGGGAGCTAATTGTTGGTGCAAACCGTTAGCACCTGTGTGAGAACGCCCAATCGGTTAGCGCTAACAGTTAGCGGTATCCGGATACCGCTAACGGTTAGCAAGCACTATCGGTTAGCAAGTGAACACGTTTTTATCATCAACCAATCACACATACGCGTTTACAATTTCCAGTTTCTTATTGGCCAATGATTCGATTTGGTATCCGGATCGGGATTTTCTCGTATGGACGTACGGCAGCTAACGGTTAGCAGGATCCGGATCCTGCTAACCGTTAGCAGCCGTGTGAGAACATAGCCAGAGGTTTGTTCTTCCCTGAGGCTGTGCAAATACATACAAAACACAATTATACATAATGACAAAAGTTAATCTTATCTTATGCTTGAATGAACAGAGTATTGCTGCATTATGTATATGACATCATCATACCCATGGGCACATCACACAAATTTGTCACATAAAATTTATAGTTTTCTTTAATTATTATTGTTATTTATATATTGTAATTTTATTATATGTCATGATTAGTAATATTTTCTTAACTATTATTTATTTTTAAATTTATATTGTTATTATTAAATTCTAATATTTCAGGACAGAATTGGTCGGCCATCCGAGACTGGCCTTATAGGAATCATTGACCCGGATTGCAGAGCCATTGGTCTCAGGCTGTATGATGGACCATTCAAAGTGATCCCACTTGATAAGGATAACAGAGAGCTGAAGGCATTTAATGTTAGGTATTAAGGCATTGTTAGGTATTAACGCAATAGTGCTCAATTGCAATAATTACAATTGAGCACTGTTGTGTTCTATCTAAATTATTAGATAATTGGGTGCATCTTGGTTTTTATATGCTGCATTTTTTTTCTTTTCCTTTTTAATATTAATTTTGATAACTTTTTATTTGTGCAATTTGGACCCCATTGGAAATGGGCTGGATTCCTGGCCTAATGGGTGTTCCAGATGCTCGTTGTATTTGATTATTGTAAAAAAATTCCTATATTGTATTTCTATATTTTATATTTTATATATGAGCATCGAATAAATTCAATTCAATCCAATTCAATTTTCAATTTATTACTTCAGCTCCAAAATTTTTAGCCTTAATTTGTGCAAATCCTCATAAAAGGAAACAGAAATTTAAAAAAACAACAACAACATAGACTAAATTTATCTGAACAAAATGTACCCAGAATTTGGTTTAAAAGAGATAACTTCAGCATCAATATACATGTTGGTACAACAATTGCTACCCACATCATATAATACTGTATTTTCTGTGATATGTCATTTGTTTTGTTCATAGATTGGAGGAATTAAATGTGATTGATGTACAGTTTCTGTTTGGCTGTGGTAAACCTACCATTGCATTCATACATCAGGTAAATTAAATAGCATTACTGTATACCACTGCATAGTTTTTATATGTGAAGTCTAAAAGGAAAATAAACACTAACTATTAAATTTAATGATCATTATAACTGCTTTTAACTTTGAATAGTATACCATTATGATTAATTTCATTGCATTTATTAACAATTTATTTTTATTTTTTTATTCTCATCCAAAATACACCGATAAATGAAATGATGGAAGCTCTATAAACTAAATCTTACTAAGGGGCTTTGGTAGTTGAGTTGTTTTTAGTTGTGAGAAAAAAGCTTGGGTAAAACAGGATTTGAACCCAGTTTCCTGAGATTGAAAGCAAGCATCTTAACCACCAAGCTACAATTTTTATCTGTAAAACATTATTTCTTACAGGATGGACAAGGACGCCATGTTAAAACGTACGAAATCAAAATGGCCGAACGAGAACTGGCGCCCGGCCCTTGGAAGCAGGACAACGTAGAGACGGAAGCAAGTATGGTGATCGCAGTCCCACAACCATATGGGGGGGCTCTAATCATAGGACAAGAATCAATAACATATCATGAAGGAGATCACTATGTGGCTGTTGCGCCCGCTATAATCAAGCAGAGCACGTTGGTGTGTTATGGACGTGTGGATTCTAATGGTTCTCGGTATTTACTCGGTGATATGGCGGGCCAGCTGTTTATGTTGTTACTGGAGAAGGATGAAGACGAACAGATGGATGGCGGTCCTGCTGTCGTTAAAGATCTGAAACTCTCCCTGCTTGGAGAAGTAAGCATTCTTTTATGAATCTATCAAAAGATTTAAAATTGTAATTTTTAATCACAGTAATAGCAATATATTAGTATTTTTATTTGGTTTGATTTTATTTTTTAATGTGAACAAATGAAAAACAAGAAATAGTGTCAAAAGTTATGCTATCCTGGATACATTCGTAAATACAACTAACACAGGATTTATTTTCAGAGTAGTTCCAAAAAATCAAACAGGTAACCTACTTGATATGAGCAATTCCATTTTGTATAGAATTTGTAGGGTTTTTTAGATCTTCAGGAGTTTATATCCATATAGTGATTGATTTATGCAAATTTGAATTTACAATCTTCAATATTAGGTGTCAATCCCTGAATGCATCACATACCTCGATAACGGAGTTGTTTACATCGGGTCGCGTCTAGGAGATTCACAACTAATCAAGGTAACTGTAAAATATTTGTCTTCTAATGTTATAACCATTCATGTCTTCCTATCATGATTTGATTGAATTTATTTTCAAAATGATAATAAGAATCTTTATCATAATGATTTTTTTTTATAGTTAACTGTTGAGCCAAATGAAAAGGGCTCATACATTCAAGTAATGGAAACGTTTACCAACTTAGGGCCTATTGTAGATATGTGTGTCGTAGACCTTGACAGACAGGGCCAGGGTCAGGTGAGTCCAGGTCTTATTTTTATCACATTGGGCATGTTTCTACTGATAAACGCAAAATAATAATTTTTTTTTTAAACCGCTTTTTTAATGAGTGTCACGTTGCAACTGCATTTTTTGCTTTTACGAAAATGGTTTTCGCGGTGGAAATTACATCACCATGTTTATACAACACTTTCTCCAAACTGATAGTTTCTTTCTCACCAACAAGACAATATACTTCAAGTATATTGTCTTGTTTCACATGAATTTCGGTCATGATGACAATGAGGAGGACACAGCAAAAAGGCAAAGGCTTTCGGCTGTGCTCGTCAGCACAACGAAAGAGGAAAACGGTAGGCCCAGAAGAAGAGCGGATAGGCCTAGGCCCAATATATCCCCCACTACACAACATAATTACAAAACGAGTAATTTCGTCACTTCACATGTTTGTTGACGTTTTAGCTTGTAGGCCTAGGACATGAACAAGGAGAATAATTGTTTTGAATCTTCGTGCGTGATACGATCATTGTTTAAACTGGAGGTCACATTTAACCTGATAATCGCTTTTTGTGTTGCTGCTAAAAAGTGCACAGCCAAAGTCGGTTATTTGCCGTTCAAACAAGCATCCATTGCATGTTTTTAATCAATTTTTTTTAATCGCTTTTTTTGAATTGGTCCTGTTTCTACTGCAAGAAAAAAAGCGATTTTTTTAAAAAGCAATTTTTTTTCTTTCCAGTAGAGACAGGCCCATTACAAGAATCTTTCGAAATTATAAGTAAACTTAATAATATTGTCTTTATATATATATTTTTTTTCTTAGCTTGTGACATGCTCCGGTGCTTTTAAAGATGGTTCCCTCCGTATTATACGTAATGGAATTGGAATACATGAACATGCCAGTATTGATTTACATGGAATTAAAGGTAAAGGAATCCTTTATTAAATGTGTTTTACCCATGGATAAGGAATTTTTCATTAAATATGTTTTACCCCTGTATGGGTATGATATGACTTTGTGCCCCTGTATGGACATAATGAGCATCATCTTGCCCATATATGGGCAAATAAACACAAATTGTCTCATTAAACTTGGGAGGGAGCGTTGTCTTTGTAGAACCCTTCTTAAGTAGAATCACATGACGTGTATGTACTCTGATGTGTTTGTTTGTTAGGTCTGTGGCCTCTACGAGTACAGTCGCACTCAGACAAGGATGACACGCTTGTGTTGACGTTTGTTGGTCAGACAAGAGTGCTGATGTTGAACGGTGAAGAGGTTGAGGAAACAGAGTTGGCGGGTATTGAAAGTGAACAGCAGTCATTCTTTTGTGGAAATGTCTGTCATGACCAACTACTTCAGGTAAACATGAATAATTTTACTTTAAGTTTTTGAACAGAAAATGTATTTGAATATATGAATTGCTATGTTCTGGATAGGTCTGGATTGATGAATAGATAGATTTTTATTCGATATTTGTTTGTTATTCATCTGTATTTATATGTATTTTTGATGTTCTCCTTCTTGGAGGTGTTTTTGAATAAAATTTGACTAAAATTTAAAAATTTGATATATCCATATGAATATATAAATTTACAAATATTATAAATGAGGCCATATGAAAGATATTAAAAAAATGGAAATACTTGTTTGTTATAAAGTAATGTATGTACAAAAATGATTTTAATAATAAAAAACAGATTTATTTATAAATTTTAACTAACCACTTTCATGTATATTGATATTAGTTTAATGAAGAAAATAAAAAACTTATTTTTTGGAACAGGTGACAGCTAGCTCTGTTAGACTTGTTAGCGTAGAAAGCAAAGCACTTGTAGCAGAGTGGAAAGCGCCCTCAGGGAAGAATATTAGTGTTGCATCATGCAACTCCGTTCAGGTTGTCTGCGCTGTGGGCAGTGATCTGTTCTATTTGGAAATCTATTCTGGGGAATTGAAGCAAATCAGGTTTGTTTTAATTTGTAAAAGTGCCTCGTTGGACCTGCTTTAATACTTCTATTCTGGTTGAAGTGAAACACCCAGAGCTCTCATTTTTTAACATTGATATAAGCCACAATACAATGTTCTTTTCATTGTTATGAAATTATTCTCCCTGATTTTTGTCTACAGTCATTAATTGGCAAAAACTTGATTATTATTAATAATATTAATAGTATCGTACTGAAGGAATATGTTTGCTTGTTATTCTCTGATATTTGTTATCTTTATGTAAATATGTTGTAAAGTCAGGATTTGGAGGGAAAAAAATGTTTGACATGTTGTAGAACTGATTTTTCTAAGACAGAAAAAGTTGTTTGACGAAAAACTGGGGAATAAGGTGAATAAGATACAGATTTTTGAATATTTAAAAACTGAAGGTAAAAGGAGGAGTAACCACCCTTTTTTACACCTTTTTCTTCCAGTTTGTAAATATTAAAAAATCCGTGTTTCATTCACCATTCCCCAGTTGTTATCAAACAACTTTTTTCTCATCAGTTTGTACGTCGTGATGAAACTTTGATGCAAAACATTCTAGAAAATTTTAATTTTACAGTAGCATTGAAATGTAAATTTTCAGTTAGATGAATCAAGAAATGTAAAGTTTTATACATTAAACAAGTATAATATTAGTCTGTTTCTTTTTCATTGTCCATTAACAGTTTTGTACAAATGGAACATGAGGTGTCTTGTCTTGACATTACACCGATACAGGAAGGCAGCGAGAGGGCTGAGATCTGCGCTGTAGGACTGTGGACAGAGATCTCTGCAAGGCTGCTCAAACTTCCATCCCTGGATGTGCTACATAAGGAGATGCTGGACGGAGGTACAGCTAAAAGAGCGTCTTTGATTAATGTACAATCTCAGTCTATTTGTTATGTTTCTGTATCAAACACTTTCAATTAATTTATAATCTATTTAGCTTAATGTTTGGCTAAACCAATGAAAGTCAAAATAATATTTTATTTTTTAAGTAAATGTAGCATTATTTTGACCTTAGTTTGATTATTATTGCTGTTATGATTTCAGAGATAATTCCACGTTCCATCCTGATGACAGTGTTTGAGGGTCAACCATACCTTTTGTGTGCTCTTGGAGATGGTTCTCTCTATTATTTTCAGATGGATACCAAAATTGGTACGTTGTACTCTGTATTTAGGTCAACTATATTTTAGGTCATTTTCATAGAGCATTTTTAAATTTAATAATAATAATAATAATTTTCCCTTCTCAACTTGGAAATTGGAGATTCGGACTGGACTGTGCACCCACGGCAGGTACAGTTCAGTGCAACCCACTTAACTACAACCTTATTACATTTTTTTCCCCTAATTTTTTAATGATTTTTATTATTTTTTTTTATTACTACAACAACTGCAACACTTAACAACAAACTTCCCTCCCCTATGCTGACCTTATCCTAAAGCTTAGTGTGAGTTATTCAAGAATGCCGATCCACCAGGCTTTGATTAAAAACAGGGTATTAACCAGGGTTATGGTGTAAGAAGTAGGAACATTTCCTTTAAAGCCACATTTACCCTAAACACGATTACGACACGACAACGAAATATCATCACATAGTTTGTATTCTTCAACACTGCACGTGTCTGTATCGTGTTGTCGTCATGTCCTAATCTAATGTAAATGTGGCTTAATGGTGTATTACAATATTAATGATTCAGTCATAAAAATCAATTATAGTCTTCCAGCACCAGTCGGCCATCATGTTGCGTGATGACAGTTGAAAATTCATTTTCAACTGTCATCACGCAACAGTTTTTGTGAGACTAGTTTTTGAATTAGTTTTCAGCAGTTATAAACCTCTTTGTTTAATGTGTTTTTACATTTTAGGAATATTATCTGAACGGAAAAAGGTTATTCTTGGCACGCAGCCAACAGTTCTGAAGACGTTCAAATCCTTGTCCATGACAAATGTTTATGCTTGTTCAGACAGACCTACAGTTATTTACTCCAGTAATCATAAGCTTGTATTTTCTAATGTGAACCTTAAAGAAGTGAACTATATGTGTCCTCTCAACTCACAAGGCTATCCAGACAGGTATGTAGTGTTTGAAATAATGGTTTAGTAGCTAGGAGCCAGGCTTGCTGCTTATAGATTCCAGGTTCAACTAAGGTTCCCTTATTAGTACAGTTTATGTTAACACAATAAAATTGGTCTTGTGTTTAACAGAAAGCTATGAGATGTTTGCTATTCTTTTCAAAGTAGATTGTTTGTTTATAAATCTGTCAAGAAGTTAAAATCTTTCATTATTTTATTCTATATTTAGTTTGGCTTTGGCTAATGACACATCATTGATGATCGGTACAATAGATGAAATTCAAAAACTGCACATCAGAACAATCCCTCTCGGAGAATCCCCTTCACGGATCGCCTACCAAGAGTCCACGCAGACGTTCGGCGTCACTACCACAAGGACAGAAGTCAAAGATGGTTCGGGTTCTACACCTGTACGTCCAAGCGCAAGCACTACGGCACTTAGTACTAGCTCGGGGAAGCAGATTGCAGCAAGGGATGAGAATAACATGGTGGACGATGAAGTGAATATGCATTCCCTGCTGATTATTGATCAACACACATTTGAAGGTGAGAACATGAAAACAAACAAGACAGGGTACTACATGTGAGTAAGTAAATCCTTGCCGAGCCATGGGGCTCATATGGGCTGAGTGTATTCCCAGTTTCAAGTAACTTCCCCTGGATGGGACTCTGGTGCACTGCAGTTTACTCCCAGCAAGTTATTCAATTCAATTCAATTCACTTTATTGCTTCATAAGCCATTGAGTGCTACTATCCGCTTAAACTATACATATATAGGCCTACACATAAATACATTGAAAAGAAAAACATATAAAATAAAGCACATGCAACTACTTCATAGAAAGGGCATTCCGGATGGTACCAATGTTTAATTCATCAGGGTCAAGATTAAGAGGTGAAAGAAGACGTAGAGAAAATGGAAGGAAAGATTTATGAAAACGATTGGTTTTAGAAGAAACATTTAAAAATCTGAGGTGACGAGAATTCCTAAGAGCAATGGAAGATTGGCGGCGTGAAGGAAGAAAAGAATAAAGGGGATGGTCAGGAGTCTTAAGAATTCGGCCAAAAGCACAGAGTGTAAAAAATTTAATTCTCTTTTTAAATGTAAAAATGTTATAATCAGCAAAAATATTAACACACGAAGAGTAAGTAGCATCATCAAATAAAAGCTTAGCAAAAATAAATTTGACGCGTTTAAATAAGGCAAGTTCACATTGTGGAAGTTGACCATAAACACAACAAGCATATTCTAACGAAGGTTCAACATGCGATTTAAATAAGAGTGCCAAAGATTTCAAGAGAATCAAGAGAATGTTTTAAATATTTTAAAATAGATAATTTACGTAAGGCTGATTTATATGACTGAAGGACTTGTGCATGCCATTTGAGGTTATCACTTATAATAAATCCAAGGTACTTAAGAGACTTGACTGTTTCAATTGGAGAATTATACAATAAAATTGGATCGAAAATATACGGCACCTATTGATACAGCTGGGTACACTGAAGCAATGTAGATAAAGTGCTTTGCTCAAGGGCACAACCAAAATGCACAGCGAAAGATGGAAACCCCGCCTTCACCTGGTAATACGTATACACATTATTTCTAAAGTACTGTAAGTTTACAACAAAATGGCTACCATGGTCACTCAAAAGCCCACTGTGCCATGGTTGGTTTTTGTGCGTATTCAAAGCTTTCATCGCAGAGCACATGTTTCAAAGTAATACCAAAAGAAAAATGGTATGCCCAGTCTCAAATTTGACTATTAATATAAAAGTACAATTGACAAATAATATTAAAGGTCTTTTATGGTTCTTCAATTTTGGAATGTTTGCACCAGCTGGCATTCATTTAGACATTACACATCTAAGCTTATGTTTTATTATTCATTTGTCAATCCCACAGTCCTGCATGCTCATCACTTCCTGCCAAATGAGTTCACCACCAGTCTGGTTTCCTGTACCCTTGGCAACGACCCCACTGCATACTACATTGTTGGCATAGCGATGGTTTATCCTGAAGAACCTGAGCCAAAGACTGGCAGAATACTTGTGTTTCAGTGGAGTGATGGTAAGTAAACAAACAATTCAGTTTTGCTTACCTGTATCTATAGTGTCAGGAAAGGAAATCGGTTGTTGCTAAATTTCCCATAAATGACAGTATCTCCTTAAAAACATAAGCATATAACGGAGAATTTGGTCACTGGTCGAGTGGTACCTATCAGGGGCGAATCCAAAGATGTCAGAAAGTGTGGGGGAGGGGCAATCGAGAGACAACACTACCCTAGGGGGAATCCGAAAGCATGTCACCGGGAAATTTTTGTTTTCTAGATGCCTGGAAATAACTAATGAGCTGTTCGTTTTTTTACTTTTCAAAAGGAGGGAGCTGGGGCCGGCCCAGCCTATAAACATTTCTTGTTTACCTGTACAGGTATCTAAAATGTAATGATTATGTTGTTGGTCACATTATTTTGTAGGTAAACTGCTTCAAGTAGCTGCAAAAGATATCAAAGGAGCAGCGTACACTCTGCTGGAATTCAATGGAAAATTACTTGCATCAATCAATAGCTATGTATGTACTTGTTTTATTTATTTTTTGTCTAACTACCTGCATCACTTAAGGGTCATTGTGAATTATGATTTGGTGGGCTTTGTGCCTTCAATTACACAAATCGGCAATGATGTTGGTAGTCTATGATTGAGATACTACCGGAATCATTTGAAGCTCGCCGCGAGTTATGATCTGGCAAGCTTTGTACCTTAAATTACATAAATCAGCAGTGATGTTAGTAGTGGTACATTTACCTGGATAATAGCATAGCCTGTCATGATATTGTGGTGGTATGCATGATGGTTGCATTCTTCGCAGTCTCTTTAGTTCGCTCTTTATTTCCTTGATTTTCACTGTGTTGTTAGGTTCCTTTAAGTTTTTTTTGCAAGACGAAATCTAGCGTAAGTTACATCAACTAATTGGTTTATTGTTTAAAACTAATTAAAATATACTGTTAAAAAACCAGATCAAACTATTCGATCATATAACTTAAGTTTCTTTCAATGTGAGGCAATACATAATCTCAAATTCTTTTTAGTATTATGAGTAGTATTTTGTTGTATACATGTTATATGTTTATTTATTTATAAGGTGTAAAGCAAATTGTGGGCATATTTCTATAAATCAGAGTCACTTTCTATTTTGATACTATGTAAATAAGCTAATCTGCCCTAGTTATTGCTAGATTATTCTTTGTACAGTACTTTCTGTGCACAGAGTATATTATATACAGTAAATTTCCTTAGAATATTGTGGTTTGTAGGTTGTAATCTGTGATTTGTTGGTAAAATATGAACACATTTTTGTTAATTTTATTTGGTTGTGATAGTATTGTATATTATATAATTTGCTTAAATATTAAACTGTTTTTTTATAGGTTGTATTATATAATTGGATAGATCATGAACTGCGTATGGAATGTACCCACATCAACAATGTAATAGCACTTTACCTGAAAGCCAAAGGAGACTTTGTGTTGGTTGGGGATCTCCTGCGTTCAATCACTCTGCTGGCGTACAAGTCAATGGAAGGTTGTATGGAAGAGGTAAATGATTCTTACTCAATTTATTTTAAGAGGATACTTTTAAGTAATTTAAAATACTTTATATCATCCCATATTTAAATATGGGATGATATAAAGTGGGTATTCTGCTTTTAGTGTCTTGTTTGATTGTTTTTGGTAGTTTTTCCTCATATATAATTATTATTATTCTTGGTAGGTAGGCCTTTCTACTAAAGGTAAGGGGCAAAATGAACTAGTGTTTGGGAGCTAATGAACTAGTGTTTGGCACTTATAAGTCTAGGTAACATCTTATATTTTTTTGGCCAGTGTCAGTAGTACATATGTTGCAGGAAAATTACACAGCATGGAGGCTATGCTTTTACCATGTAGCGTAAAAGGAGTAATTCTGGTTGTTATTGTTGATGCTAGCGATATTGTTGGAGTTAATGTTAGTATTGTTAAATCTTTTATTATGATGATGATTATTATTATTATTATTATTATTATTATTATTATTATTTTTATTATTATTATTATTATTATTATTATTATTATTATTGTTATTATTATTATTATTGTTGTTGTTATCATTATTATTGTTTATTGTCTTCAGATTGCTAGGGATTACAATCCTAATTGGATGTCGGCTATTGAGATTCTGGATGATGATACATTCCTTGGAAGTGAAAACTCCTACAACCTGTTCACATGTCAGAAGGACAGGTGAGTTGCCAGCATTCCATATAGCTGCTCCTATACTGCCCCCAAGGAATAGCAGGCCTAGGAAAACATTGCAACAACATCACATGTGTTATGATAAAAATGTATTCCCATTTTTTCTTTGGTGCACTAAAAGGCAGAATAGGAAATAGCATGGAGTATAAGGGGTGTGGTGTAATGGGACATGCTGTAGTACTAAATGCCATTTTCGTGAACAATATTTCTATCACTCCATGTGATTCATTTGCGTATAATTTTTTTACACAAGTGCTGCCACTACTGATGATGAAAGGCAACATTTGCAAGAGGAGAGCTTCTTTCATCTTGGTGAGTTTGTGAACGTCTTCCGCAAGGGCTCCCTCGTAATGCAGAATATTGGCGAGAGCACAATTAACACTCAGGGCAATGTACTATTTGGCACTATTAATGGAACCATTGGTAAGTTCAGATTTTTGTATTTCTTTTTAAGTATTGTATAATAATTATTGCTATTATAATTTATTAATTTGATCTTAGTTACTACCTATCACTACCACATCACCACTGCTACTGTTACTGCTTTTGCAGCTGTTGCTACTTATGTTGCTGCTTCTGCTATTACTACTGCTACTTCTGCTGCTGCTACTTCTGCTGTTACTGCTTCTGCTGCTAATTCCGCTATCTGTTCTACTGCTTCTGCAGCTTCTGCTACTGCTACCGTTGCTACTAAAACCGATTCTACTTCTACTGATAGTAAATAGAATTTAAGAGTAATAATGTAAAACATAGCTGTTGTGTATCTTGAACAAATATTCAAATCTTCTGTGTTTTTTTAATCAGGTCTTGTAACACGACTTCCTGAGGAATTTTTTAAGTTTCTGTTGGAAGTTCAGAACAAACTGACGAAAGTGATAAAAAGCGTTGGAAAGATAGACCACTCATTGTATCCTTAATTTTCATAACAGTGCGCTTGTATATAATTATACCTTATTTATATCTTAGTCTTATTTGTTGAAAATGTGTAGCTCAATAAAGATTTAAAATTGATTTGTATTGTATTTATTAAAGGTCCGAGTTCTTGAACTTGCAGTGGCAGATTCAAGTGACTGACCCCTTTCCAAGACCCTGCTAAATTTTTCAATTATAAAAAGTTTTAAGTCTGACACCCTCAATCTTTGAAAGTACATCTCTCTAGGCCCCTTTATTCCAAATTCCTGGATCCACCGTAGACTCTGGCATCAATTATTGTCAAAGTAAAGTATATAAATAAATCATTTAATTTTTCCTTCTTAAGATCTTAAATATTGTTTCCATCGGAAAAAATTCATAAGAAATAATCATTTTCAATATGTACATGCTATTACCAAAAAAGTGTTGTTAACCATCCTATCCTGGTGTTTATTATTTATTTGGATGTATTTGCATCTATTTTGGGTCGATGATTTTTGTTAATGATTCCTTAATAGTGGCTGAATAGCTGGCGAGCATTTAATACAGACAGAAAGACAGAGCCTGCAAATGGGTTTATAGATGGTGACTTGATAGAGAGCTTTTTAGACCTAAGTCCTGACAAAATGGAAGAAGTTGTAAAGGGATTACAGGTATATTCACTCACATACTAATATTGCTTGTCTGTTGTTAGTATTAACATCATTATCACCAGCTCACACATCATCGACCATCATCATCATAGTCATATTGCTTTTTGTCATTATCATCACATTCATCATAATCAATCTCACGATCATCACTACAACCACCATCTTCATCGTTGTCATCATCATTGTAACAAGGTAATTCAGCAAAAAGACGCACTTCTCTGCTCGCGAAAATAGCGCGTGTGTACAGTCCTTTGATCTTTACTGTGGCATCGACAATCCAATACTAGTTGCGAGTACAGCCGTCAATTATTATTCTATGCGTACCATATGTGTTATGGTGTTAGTTACTATTTTACTAATTTTGGGCACTTCGCAATGTCTGTTACATCAGATTTCTTTAGACCACCAGCTTGTTAAGTGCTTCTATAAAATACAATTTGATTCATGAAAATGGACCAACAAAATGAAAAGTTACAGCAAATAAAAATGTATGATTTTTATAAAAATTCATGTTCTTATATAACATTAAACTGATTTGGACAATGTTGCACTAAGGTGCACAAAACCAACATTTGACTAAATACAGAAAATTTATTTATTTTTTCTGCGAAGTGAGTCTCATGAAACACCGGATACCACCTTATCCGTAAAATTAGTGTTAAAATAACGAATTTGATTTCATTCTAATATTAATGCAAAAATTCATTAGAACTTTGTAACCACCACACAAAGCGCGATTATCATGGCAACTGACACGTGCATGTGTAATTCTTCACACGCTGACCGTTAATTATGGTTTGGTTGCTATAGTTTTTGTGACGACCAGCGTGTAGGGGAATGCAGCGCGTAGAATCTCGATGCCAGAGTCAGGGCGGATCCAGTAGGAGGACACGTGGCCCTTCGTTTTGCCACTAAATTTTAAAATGTGTGTTGTGCTACTCACTTACCTATTATGAGACTGTTGTAACCCGTTTGAAAAATTCTGCATGCGTCCTTGAGAGTTATATCCTTTGATGTCCCGAGATGTGCGTCCTTTTGTTGAATTGCCTTGATTGTAATCATATCACCATCACATTCATCATCCTCATCATTGCCATTATCGTCATCATATATTGTTCTCATTACCATCACCATTATCATCATCATTCTCAGTACCTTCACCTTCACTTCCAAGTACCACAATGGAAATAAGTTGTCCTTTGTGTTATTTTTTTTTGTGTATCCTTGCAATTTTATCTTATTGTGTATGAATTTCAAATAAAATGGAATGAAAGTATTCTGACAAGGTCATAATTTTAAATAATTCTTTTGCCTAATCAACAGTTATTTAAAAAAAAAAATTCTATTAATTTATCTTTCATTTGAAGCATATATTATTAAACATAGTTTAATACTCTAAATAGGAATTAAACATAGTTGAATAAATAGGAATATTTTGTTTTGTAGATCGATGATGGAGGAATGAAAAGGGATGCTACATCAAATGATTTAATTAAAATTGTAGAGGAATTGACACGGATTCACTGATATTCTCACTGCTAGCAACCATTATCGTGGGTACATGTACATAAAGATTACATAAGCTTGTAGTTGGCTAACAAGTTGTATTAAGTCATACAATATTTTTTAACAAGAAACCTTATCAAAATGCAATGGAATGTTTTCAATAATGTACGCTTTAAAGGTTGTCAAGTTGTACGACTGAATTTTGATGTGGGAAAAAGTTAAAGGATTTATAGACGTGTTCTTGCGTATGGTATCGTATGATTTTGCATAGCAGTTGATGATTATAATTGTATGTGATGTCATGATTCATTTAATATTATGATATCCAATGATTACACTCAAAATCCCCTTCTGACAATAATTGTCTGAGTGAATGTTACATTAATACATTTTAATAATTGGGTCAAAAAGTATATTGTAGATTTGCAAGAGGTCCGTATGCATGCAATGAAACATTAAAAAGGAACTACCACAAGATGGGGTGCCCTATTAGTATTCGAAACTCGAACATGCACGTATTTGATAAAAACGCCTTTTACATACTTTTGAAGGACGCCGTCTAATTTATGGTTGTACTTTTTGAGATAGGATTACGTTCCCCCAAGGGTCGGACCTCTTGCAGTTCTGTACTCTTTGATTAGGTGTAATTTCTCATATCAAACTTTAACCTGGTACATTCAGTATGCTTTATCTGTTACAAAATAATAATCATGGTGCATCATATTCTAAAACCCTGTCCAGTCTATCATATTTTATGTGGCAAAACATGTGACATGCCTAAATATGGTCATGAAGACATTACATTATGACCATATATAGACACATCATGACTATATATGGGCATACAACAGTTTTTGGTAATCTGGACAGGGCCTAAAATGATAATTTGTATTCATATTGACCATAGAATTATAAAAATACCTCTACTAGAAAACATGGTGTAAAAGGACTATAGTTAACCTATTGTTGTATTGCAGTAATTAATAACAGTTGTCCTCATTAACATTCGTCCTCATTAATGTTAGTCTTTATGAGCCTTCAAACAAACCAGTGTATACTGGTCAAAAATCTGTTGAAAGAATACTGTACAAAAGGCTTGCTGTTCAGCTTGTGTTATTAAACCTTATGGATGCTACATTATTATTGCCATTAAGCACAATTAAAATTTGTAAGTTATTGTATTAATTTCATATCATTATGCTTAATACCTTGCGACGACATGTTGTAGAATTTCATTATGTGTCCACAACAATGTAATATATTTTACCTATGCGACTGCCATTTTGAATGGAATGGATAGTGAAAAAGAATCACTTCATTTGGCACTTGAGATACTTTCAATTTTGTTGAAAGTTGAATTGTTTAAATCTATTTCAGTTATATTCATACAATTATTTATAGGTGCTTAAATGAATGAATCTAGTTAATGGTTTTGAATTTTGGATGAATCTTATCATTTATAACACTCGGTATATACAGTATATACCTTTTTGCCAAATTTGTTAAAGCAAAGATATATATATAACAAAACGTAAATGTATTTAAGGCTGTTAAAAGAAATCTCATTGTTTATGTTTTGTATTCCGTCATCACTCCAGTATGTGTAATTTCTCAACCCGTTCTATTAAATATGATTTGTAGTAATTAATTGTTGCAGCATTTTTTAATATTGGTAGTTTTGCTTTCTCCTATTTAAAAAATATTTTATTCAAATATCCAGGTAAAAGCAATACTGTAAAAAAGAAAACATGCAAACACAATGTAAATTACCTGAAGATTGTCATTATCAAGTGGCTCTCCTATAATAACCATCTTTACATAAAGCATACATAAAAACAAATATAAAAGATTTGATTCTTAATCTTTCAGATCACCAATCAAATATTTGAACTAAAATATACACTAATGCCAATTAAAACAATTTACAGCAAATGAAGTCATGCCTATTCAAATGTGTATTTCATTACTGACAAGGCTTGATTAGCAGTAAGCAGTCTATTACACTATTGTATGACCCAAATTTTTTGCAGACCCTTTTGACTTAGTGGACTCCAATTATTTAGGGTTTCCAGGCTGGGAACCACTGTTTTAAACCACAATACTGTATGAGGTACAATATAGGCAAATCAATATTTTTGGTCCGACGACCTCTTTGTCTAGGCCTATTTGGGGATTTCTCCTCCCCTTGTCGTCACCACTGGCCAAGGGTGGTGCCAGTGGGGTCCGTTGTTCTTAATACTGTACTTCATATGTGATATACTATACAGTATTATTCTAATGAAAATATTGATAACTGTATAAAACATTCAACATTGAGCTACAAAAGATTTGTGTCTGATTCACTGTTACACTTTTAATATACTGTATGCTACTAATCAAATTACATGATACTTTCTCATGCACATGGTAAGGACATCATAGAACATCCAACTGAAAGTCTTTTACTTGGTGTTGTAATTCATAAAAAAATTAGCCTAGTCTATTCAACAAAAACGTATTTCTAGTAAAATCTCAAAAAATATTAGGATAATAAATAACCTAAAGTAGGCCGTAATATATTTTTGATCTTTCATAAAACTATTTTTTAAAATTTTTCTTTTTCTTCAATTGAATTCATTCTTTCACACTTACAATATTGTAAAATTATTTGGGCAGCAGATTATTCTACAAACATTATGAAATTATTTAATTACAGAAACATGTACCATTAATTTGTTTATCTCCTGTTGTGAATGAACACTTATTTAAGAAATTAAATATTTTTGATCTGCATAAAATCCAGGTCTTGTTATATATCAGTATGAGAAACATTTATTGCCGATTTCAAATACCTTTTGTAAACGTGCTACAATTAATTTTTATTTTTTCAAACTATGTAAACATTTTATTCAGCAAAATGTTATTTGAATGATCAGTTCTTACAGCACCATGTCTTTTTATAGAATTATCATACAGTCAATAACAGAAAGTTAAGCACTCAACTCATCTTTAAAATTTGCCACTGTCAGCCCACTGCTAGATGGAAGCCTGTCTAAATGATAAATTAAGCATCTATTTTGAGCTTCCCGCACCTTGAGCACTACAGCAACTGCAGGAGATTATGTGCGCTTTATAAATATTATTATTATTATTATTATTACTCAGTAATTGGGTAATCACATCTTACCATCAGTGGTGGCTCTAGAAATTTGCAAACAGGGGGACGAACCAATCCAAAATGGGATCTATTTACCAAGTGGCCATAAAGAACTTCTGGTGACAGTCTAGAATTAAAAACCTATGGTAAGATTAAAGATAAAAGAGGTAATCCCCTTGCTACAGAGATTTTGGTATTCACAACAAAATAGTAAGGAACTGAAAATACAATCACTTGGGTTGAATTGGAAAATTGATACTACAGTATTAGTCTGTCGAGAAAAGTTCCATAAAATATATTTTTCTAACCTTGGCGATACAACTGCTACTACAATTAATGCATAATAATAAGTGACTAACAAAACCCAATTTTTTTTTATTCTATTGTCCTAAATTATGGCATGAACTAAAAAGTGAAATAATTACAAGTGACAGGTTTTTAACTTTTACTTTGAATCTTAATTGATAGCTTTTATGTTGTATATTTTCAAAAACTATTTATATATATTTTTCTGAATCGTATACAAAAAAGCAAAATACATACTGTGTTACACTAAATATGCAAATTGGTTAACGAATGCAACACTTGAAGTGCTTTTAAAATATTTTTTCTGACAATCTTTAAAAGTATAATGCCAATTAATATTACATTATCATACACATTATCATATTTGTATATGAAAACTCTAAATAAAAACAATACATTGGTGATTTAATTACGTCTGGATACAATATACCCAAACATAAAGCAAAAATGCAATTTAAGAAGCTGTTAAAATGTCAATAGGCCTATCAAATTGGATTGATTTTGTTGTCTTTAGCTGCTTTAAATATGTTATCAATAAGCTTAAGCACAATTTACACACTTTTTCCACTAAATATGTCGCACAGACCTATAAAATTAGGTTATGTGAACATTATAATGTACCACTGTTCTGATGCCCTAATTCAGTATTTTTCTTAGTACAGTATTTGATTTTTTTTTACAGTTCTGGGCCTGCTGCTTTCTCGGTTGCATTCTCTTCTCTAAAAGCAATAGTTACTTCTTCAATTTAAAATAAAAATGTTTCATCTCTCACAGACATAATTGCTCCTTCAGTTCTTTTATTTCTATTGTATTTTCTCTGGATGTAGATCAATTGACAGTATTTAAAAAGGCATTACATCAATAGGATTTTATATCTGTCACTGGGCATCGCAAGTGTAATCATGTACCGTTATTATATTTTTCTGTTCATTCATTCATGGTTTTTATTCAGAATTCAAATATGTCTGTAGAAAAATTGTCTTAGTATGGTCTAGGATAATACCAATTTAATCCTGTAATTCTGCTGTCCAATCTGTCTATCTCATTTTCAAAATGTGTAGACTTCTTTCGCAAGTATGCTATACTGCCCACAAACTCTTCAGATTCATATTTCATTGCTTGTACCTTGGACTCAAAATTATCAGACTTCCGTTTAAATTGTGCTATCTCGTCCTCAACAACTAATATGATGCTTTTATTTGCAGATATCTTCTGATATATTTGTTTTAGGTCAGTCCTAAACTTCAAGTTTTCTATCTCTCCTGAATTTTTATATACTGTCTCCTTCAATTTCTCTATCTCTTCTCGCTTCAAATCTTTTATCTCTGCTGAATTGGCAGATATCTGTTCCTTTAATTCCCCTATCTCTTCCCTCTTCAAAACTTCTATCTCTGACGAATTTGCAGATATCTTCTCCAGCAATTCCTTTATCTCAGATAAATTTGCAGGTACCTTTTCCTGCAATTCCTTTACCTCTGGTAAATTTGCAGGCATCTTTTCTTGCAATTCTTCTATATCTGATGAATTTGCAGGCATCTTTTCCTGCAATTCCTCTAGG